CGAGAAGGTAACGTGGGAGCAGCCAGAAGGGAAAGGCTGCAGGTCTAAGCTGTGGTTTTGGGGACTCATCATCTCTTTTGGGGAGCTGGGAGCATAAGGTTAGGATAGGACTGGGAAAAAAACCTCCTGCCTTTCTCCCAGTGAGGTCTCGGAGTCCAGAAGAGCATTTTGTGCATCGAAGGGACGTTGTAGTCTCATCTGTCACTACTTCTGGGTGGAAGGAATGTGATGGTTTGCTCTCATCCAGGAGCAACGAGTCCCAACCATCTGTACTCCCGGGTAGACAGAACCAGGTTTTTCCTTTTTGGCATTTAAAGGGAATTAACCACAGGAGCAAATCATATTGTGTTTGATGACTGGTAAGATCTTTCTTGCTGGCATCTGCTGACCTTCTGGCTGTCTCTTTTCTTAGTGCGGGTGGTACTGGGGACCGATGAACTGGGAGGACGCAGAGATGAAGCTGAAGGGGAAGCCGGATGGGTCCTTTCTGGTCCGAGACAGCTCTGACCCCCGTTACATCCTGAGCCTCAGCTTTCGGTCGCAGGGCATCACCCACCACACCAGGATGGAGCACTACAGGGGTAAGAGCTGGTTCTGGGGTTGCTCCTGCCTGTGATTGGGGACCTTGAGGTCCCAAACCAGTTCCTTGAGCACAGAGCTGGTGGAAGATGGGGAGCAGCAACGTGTCCTCGCTCTTGTGTTGAGGTTCTACAAGAGGCTTTGGAAGCTGCATTTGACTTCTTGTGCCTCAAGCAGCAACTTCCCTTACAACTCTGAAAAAATGAGGAGTACGAGAGGTGCCAGTGCCTTGCTTTGGAGAACTGGACCCGAGGAAAACGATGGTGGCAAGGTCTTTGGGATCCCACATCACCGATCTACAGCGAGAGCCGTCGTTTGTAGCTCTCTTCCCAAAATGAAGCTTGTTTGCTTGTGAAATGAGAAATGATCTCTTGATGTCGCAGCTCGTCACCTTTCTTTGTTCTCCCCCATCCAAGGGATGCTCGGCAGCTGTCGGTCCCGGGCTGAGGCTTTAGCTCCAGCGTGGTGGGTTTTTATTCTGAGAACTGGCACGCTGCTCCTGCCCTTCCTTCCTTCTGCACTCGCCCTCCTGCCCGTGCTGCTTCTCACCTCGCCCACACGCTTTGTCTGCTCGCCTTCACGTGTGGTTTTGATTTGTTGAACCCTTGGTCGGGCAGCTTGTCCTCATGCTGAGTAAAACACCCGGGAGGCTCAAGGCACGGGGGGAAGCCTCCCTGTAACCAGTGGACAGGCTTTAATAAAACTGCCTGCAAAGCCTTGTCATTAGATGTGCCTGCAAATAATGGGTTTGCAGGTTTCCCAGCCAACCTGCTGCAGAAAATAGGGGTTTGCAACCTTTCAGAGCAAAGCCGATGTTTTTCTCCTTTTTGCCCTTGCCCCAGGGATGCTGCTGTTGTCTCTTCTTCCACCTCTGCTAGCGAAACGTCTCGCTTTGGGCCTTGAGCCCTCTCTGATGGAGAGATGCCCCAGCAGGAAGTCTAGCCCACCTAGAGCCAGTTCCCCTGACCCTGACCGTTGCGTAAGAAGGGAAGATTTTCACCACCCTGTCCTTGTGGAAATTGCAAGAAGCTGGAGATGTGAGGCTGCCTGTACAGGGGATGTATTTTCATAGTTGTGCTTTGGAGGAAACTTCTCTTGCTGCTGGTCTGGTCTCTTATTTTGAGGCCAGAACATGTCTTGGAGCTTCCTTAGCCCACGTGGCCTTCCCTGTCCTCAAGCTGCCCTTCTCGCTGCCTGGATGAAGGTTGGTGCCATCACCTTCCCTGGAGCAGCACTTGCCGCATCAAGGATTTCGTTTTTGGAGGCAGCACTTTGGTTTGCACTGGCACCGCTGTGCCCCTCCCAGGACTGGCTGTCCTGTGCTGCGACAGCCTGGAAAACTGCAGAGCCCAGCACTTTGATAAACCAGTGAACGTGACAAATGGTGAGGCTGGGGAACGGTAGAGAGAGAAATGCTTGACCTTCGGGTTTCAGGTGGATGAGAGGAAGAAACCCCATTGGTTTTGTCTTTTTTTTAGGAGTTTTTGGAGTCTCCTGTGCCTTTCCAGTTCTTGTGCAGCTCAGCGGTCTCCTGGATTTTGCCCCGTGCGGGTGTCAGTGTGGATCTGGACTAACAGCCCTTGTTTTCTCATTTTCCCATTCTCCTCTTGCTCTGTGCTGGCTCTTGCTGGAGCTCTGACAAATCTGCAGATAAAGGGAGGTAGAGGGGGCATGCAGCCAGCCTTTTGGCAAGTAAGGAGGGACAAACATCTGCGTTTTGGTGCAGGGAGGGGGTCTCTGATTGTGGCACAAGAGACTGGTCTGACTTGAGGCTTAAACTTAATCTATTCAGGGATCCACGGAGAGGCTGGAGGGGCTGCTGTGCCCGTCTCCGGTGCCATCATTTGGCCACTCGAGCTGAACGCGCTCCTCGGGTGGCAGCGTGGGGAGGCCGGTGTCCAGGCGCCTTTGCCCTGGTTCTAGCCAGACGGGAATTTGAAATGAGGTGTTGGAAACAGCTGGCAGGAGTGGGAACCTGCTCCCATGCCCGCTTTGAACTAAGTGCTCAAAGCTCCAGGCCTGGCAGAAGAGGACTTCAGCCACCAGATCGCTGCTCTTCCCTACCTCTGTGTCGAGGTTTAACTGCTCGAATGCGCGAGCTTTTGTTGGGAGTGCTGGTGATGGGATGCTGCGGAGGCACAGGAGCATCTGTTAAAGTATGTTTTGATAGTTTAAGCTTTAGACCCAGCAGGCTGTTTACAAGCTCAAGCAAGCGTGACTTGTGGCCGTGTTGGGGTTATGTCGTCACGTCCTTCTGTGTATCCTCAGCTCTTGGAGAGCACCGGTTCCACTGGAGCAGCATCCTTGCGAGCTGGTGCCACTGGTGTTGCCTCTTAGTGCCCTGCCTTGCCAGAGCTCTACAAGGAGTCCGTCTGGAGCGTTCTCCTGGTCTTTGAGAACATCAAACGCGTGGCCGAATGTCTCCTCTTGCCACCAGCGCTTGTAACGCAAGACCTTTTCTGTTTTGTTGGAAGGGACCTTCAGCCTGTGGTGTCACCCCAAGTTTGAAGACCGCTGCCAGTCTGTGGTGGAGTTCATAAAGAGAGCAATCATGCACTCCAAAAACGGGAAGTTTCTCTACTTCCTCCGATCCAGGGTTCCAGGTGAGTCTCCTGCGCAGAGTTCGGGGGATATTTTGTTCTGTGAGTAGCTGCTGCTCCCTCCTGGAGAGCGCACTTAAGGTGTGTCCACGTCCTTGCCCACCAACTCCTCGGAAGGATCCCGAGGAGCGGATCTCTCAGTCGGCAGCTTTTCTCCGCTTACTCGTGGTGATAAGGAGAATTCCCAAACCTTTCTTTCCGGTACGGAAATGTGACACCATCTCATGCTGTGACAAATGGAACTGGAGACTGGAAAGCTACCCCCTCCACAAGCAATTATTTGGCTACTAAAACTCCACTTTCTTCCCTCCCCTGGTCTCGGTACTGCTTGTGAACAACTCCATGCTTTGTAGTTTCCCGGTTCTCCCTTAGCTGAGACCCACCTGGGACCGTCGAGGGGAGAGACGTGAAGCTGGAGTGTGTGGGAACGTTTCCAAGAGTGAGCTCAAAGTGAGCCTCAAGCCATAGATACTGTAGATTCAGAGTCCCTGGGGGGGCCTGTGCTGCCAGAGCCTGTCAACAGGCAGGTGCTTGCAAGCAAGGAGGGAGTGTTAGCGCAGCTTTGTTGAAGCATGTTTGATTGCAGAGGGCTCATTTCCCCATCCATCATCTCACATCTCCCTGCTGCTAAATCCAGGCAGGCAACTAGACCAATTTCTTCTGTATCTGTGGGGTTTTTTCTCTTCTGTCCTGGCATAGTGGCAGGCTAGCCGAAAAATCCAATGTGAAAGGAAGGGAAGAGGCTGCCAAATAGGCAAATACGCCCCTCACTTGTGAGAGAGCAGCGGTGGGGACAGAATTTGGATGGCAGGTGAGCTTTCAACAAAGCAGAGCAGGAGCGGCGGAGAGGGTTTTTTTTTAGCGTGAGGATTGCTGTGGTAAATCTGCAAGTGAAATTATAGCAAATTTGCTCCCTGTCCGTGTTGCCGTCGTGCCTGCAGGCTCTGATGGTGACAGCGGCCTCGCTGTGGCTCTGCGGCGTGGGGAGGATTTGGCCCAAAGGGTTTCTGGTCTGGAGGAGGGATGGGATGGTTCCTCCTCAGGGTCCCTGGAGTCCAGCCCGAAGCTGTGCAGTGTTGCCCTCTGCTGCAGGCACCGCCAGCAACTGGAAAGCTGATTTGTAATGTGGCCAAGCTTTGGGGAGGAGAGGGGATGTAAAGCTGGTTTTCAATGAACCCTACCTTCAAAAAAAAATGCTTTCAACTTAAAGATGGTTTACCTTTCCTGATCCT